AACTTTATTTTTTGGGAATCAGCATGAATAAATTATAATCAATTACATATTATTAAATTCAGCTATTATTCTTTATAAAATTGTATACATAAAATTAAAAGTACAAAAAAATTCATGAAATTACATTTATGATATTTTGCTGAATTAGAAAAGTTTTAGCTTTAGTTATCAAATGGAAAATTTTGAAAAATAGGAGATGACTATACTACTAGTAAAATTCATTACATTTGGCAATTCATATACCTTTTTACATTCCATGTAATGTCATAATGATCATTCTAAATTTCGCTTTATGATATTATTTGTATTATGTCTCCCTTTGTCTCCCATGTTAATATTTTAAACCATTCATTATATTAATATACTTCATACAATGTGTGTGATAAGTTTCACTGCATGCATACTAAAGTACTTTTTGTACTGACATGTCTTAACAATGTGTTTGCATCTTTAATGCTGCGTGGAATGATAGGCTATTATTATGATTATGATAATGATGATGGTAATTATAAAATTCCTGCATTTTTTTCATATAAGTGGATGTCAAACTCTACTCTGCAAAGAGTATGCAAGAAACTTTATATTTTGATACAGATTTATGTATCATTATACAGTTACTATGAGCTCTTTTGTTTTTTTTCTTACACAGAAGTCGCACCACCACGTCCCCCATTACCTGGTGGAGACATAGCACCTCCAAGACCTCCACCACCAGAAACAGATGACGAGGACGAAATGTTTATGCATGCACCACAACCTAATCAGCCTATAATGGTACTTAAAATTTTTTTCTTTAATTAAACAGTACAATACTTATTTGAATTTATTAAACTTTTAGATGGCAGCTCATGGCCTACATCAAGAAGTGCGGCAATGGTCTAGCAAAGATAATGAGATTATTGCAGCTGCAAAGAAGATGGCTATTTTGATGGGTAGACTATCAGGTTTAGTCAGAGGAGAAGGTGGCAACAAGCGAGATTTGATTGCATGTGCAAAAGATATTGCAGAAGCCTCTCAAGAAGTGACTCGTCTAGCCAAAGAACTAGCTAGGGAATGTACTGATAAACGTATTCGTACAGTAAGTTAACTTGTCATAATGTTTTATCACTTTAATATTATTAAGATACATTATAATTTTTATATTTACTTTCTAGAACCTTCTTCAAGTTTGCGAGCGTATTCCTACTATAGGGACACAGTTGAAAATATTATCAACAGTCAAAGCTACAATGCTAGGTGAACAAGGTATAGTACATAAATTTCTTCATAAAATAAAAATTAGTATTCTTAATGTAATATATATTTGATGCAGTAAAAGATAATTCACTTAATAATAATTAACGGATGTTGGGGAGTAAGCTTTTATATTCTCAAAGAAATTGATCCGACAAACAATTATTAATTAAATTTTTCATACATAGAGACGCTCCCCACCTGGGAAGAATTGATGCTTTATGGTAAAAAAGTTGATAAGATTATGCTTGATATCTTTATCGTTCTCTTTAGCGTTTATTTTGTTTAATTTTCGAGAATCCCGCGGGTCTTGCACTTGCATTGCAATGCATGCACATTTTGTCTCCCCTACAGAAGACCAAGAAACAATTCAATGAGAAACATCTATTTCATTATCTTTAAAACGTTTTTAAAGTGATCAAAAGAAGGTAATAGCGATATGAACAAGTTAAATTTACGTTGAGCAAATCAAATATAAAATCTAGAAATAATTTCTAATAGTTTAATTATCAAACAAATATTTATGTACATTTTATTGAAACTTCTACATGGTTTTCGGTTAATGTGCCTCTTCTCATCGTGGTGTAGACGAATTGATTGGCTACAGTAAGTTTATTATATGATAAGTAGAAGTTAGCATAATCCATATGACCGATAATAATAGACAATACATCGATATTAACGTTGTGTATACGTAAAAAACAATCTACTGTATCCGTAAAAAATTCTTCATCTGTAATGCATTTCATATGTCATTGAATTAGTTTACAGCAGACCAAAGTGGTAAACACTGACATCATTAAAACTAGTCTCCATTCTTCGTCAATCTTAGCATTCATATTTTAAGTTTGTTCCTTTTGCATGATTTATTTAATTAAAGCACACACTGTTTTCCCTTTGGAACAGTCACACTCTGTTTTTCAAATACATTCTCACATATTTAAAAACTACTAGTTGACATGTATTGCATGCAATACACTACAGTAGTTACCCCTGTAAAAAATAGTTGATTATTCAGTTTACACCCTTTGATACATTCTTGCAACGAACATATTCATCTGTGCAACATCTGCTATTACTATATCACAGAGATTATTTACCTTACTTTGATTTGTTTCACTGTACAATAATTTTCATTAATATACTTCGTTAAATTATGGAATGTATTAATATAAATGAATACTTTTAAATTATAATCATTGTTTTTAATTTCTCTGTTTCATTGTAAATTTTTAATTCAATACTAAATTTTTCTTGAAAAAATGCAGGTACAGAAGAAGACCAAGAAGCCACAGACATGCTCGTTGGAAACGCTCAAAATCTTATGCAGAGCGTAAAGGAAACTGTCCGAGCAGCAGAATGTGCAAGCATAAAGATACGAACAGCTTCTGGTATGAAGTTGCGCTGGGTGCGACGTCAGCCTTGGTACCAGTACTGAACAAGTTGTTGAAATAATGAAAGTGAATTAGAACAAATGGGTAAGACTTCCTAATATAAGATATCTTTTAATAATAAATTCCACATGGTATATTTCAAGAAAGTGTTCTAACAAGAAGTAACATTCTGATGATCAGAATTCATTGAATTTTTTCAAATTATTTTAGAAAAATTTTTTTTAATCGCTTATTCTATGTATCCTTTTACTTCCTTTTATGTTTAAAAGTCGTTTGCACAAATTTGTGCTTGAAGAAAAAATGTATAAGCTAAATATTTGACGTTATTGAGACCGAAAAAACATTCAGTGCCTTCTGCACACCAGAATTATAACTCTTGCAATAGTCTCAAAATATAAAGCATAATCGTAACGATAATTTATATTTATACATATATTGACAAATAACATATTCTTCGCGTAAGAGTTACAGTAGTATCCATATAATTAAGGATACTTGAAAAATGTTATAACTTTTTTTAAACTAGACTAAATTTTTTTAGTTGATAGAGAGACTAGTTTATTAGACAATGACTATAATACTTTCTATAAATTTTGCTGTTATTTGGAATGACAACAAAAATTAAAAAACTCATGTTTTTAAACTTTTTTTATCTGAGTCTATAACGAAAATTTTAAAAATGCGTTATATAGAACTCGGTAACTTCTAGAAAATTCATCGAAATCGGTTGATCTTGACATAAGCTTTAAACAATTGAAAATCGCAGTATTTCACGAATTTCAACCAAAAACAGGTCACTTTGCATCTTTCAATGACTGTAGCATGACTATGCGTCAACCGATTTCAATGAAAGTTTCAACATGTACATAAGTAACCGAGATCTACAAAATGCATTTTTTACATTTTCGTTATAGGATCAGATAAAAAAGTTGAAAATCATAAGTCTTTTATTCTCTTTTTGTCATTCTAAGCAATAGCAAAATTTATAAAAAGTATTATAGTCATTATCTAGTAAACTAGTTCCTCTATCATCCAAACAAAATTCAAGTCGTTTAGTCTAGTTTTAAAAAAGTTATACCGTTTTTCAAGTGTCTTTAAGTATATGGCCACCACTGTATATACTTTATAATATAACAAAGGAGCTAGTGATTAATAGTAGAGAGCTACTTCATCTGAATTGAGAAACATATCTCAATTATTGGAGTATAATCTAAAAGT